TTCCCCTCAATCCGTCTTTCCAGATCCACTAATGGGAATGTTTTACTAAGAAACCTAATTGTCTCAAGGTTCCATCTGTGGTTTCCTGTAGTTTACTTCATATATAGCCTGTACAAATTTGCTTCACATTGCAGTTTAGTTTAGCCTTTTAAGTCTGTATATTTTCAAGAAATATAATTCAACTTCTGATAGTCTTCTTCAGCTCTCTTCATTGTAAACAATCATTATATCTATCTGGTGAATATCTTCATTGTTAGAAGAGAATGAGTCTAGCCTAGTGCAATAGCTTCCTTGGTATATCCTTCGGGCATGAGTAATGCTGTCTTGGGCGTAGGAGGTCCGGGGGGAGAGAGGAAGGGACAAGTGACCCTCCACTTCCTCTCGCCGGACCATCCTGGGCCTGGAGGGGAGGGGGGACGAGGGGAGGGGGAGAGGCTAATCTCTAACCACTTGGCGTGACTAACTAACGAGCGTGTGTACGTGTGTGTGCGGTGGCCTCGCAGGACCTCCTGGTGGAGAGCGTGACGCACGAGGCGCAGACGGGGCACCTGGTGGAGATGGTGCGCAAGGTGAGCGACGCCATCACGTGCACGCCCCTGGAAACCCGGGTGACGGCGCACCACCAGCGGACCACAGCACTGCGCCAGGACGTCGGCCGCCTGCTGGAGCGCCTCGAGGAACTGCACGTCCACTGGTCGGCGTACCAGACGCAGATGGACAAGCTGCAGGAGTGGTGCTCGCAGGCGAAGACGTCCCTGCAAGAGATCGACCTCACGCCGCAGGACCAGGAGAAGCTGAGGGAGCAGTTCAACCAGATATGGGTAAGTCTCCTCCCGGGGGCGGAGTGGGAGGGGTCTCGTTGGCACACTGGGGTCCCGCCGTTCATTTATTTGTGTCGAGTATTTATTTTATATGTTATGTGTTTACTTTTTGTTACCTTTGTTCTGTGACATCTTCAGCTGTTACACTGACATGTATGTAATTTATTTTATATATTTTTCCTAGAATCTCAAGGCCCAGTTTGATAGTCAGGGTGTATTGCTGAACGAATGCATGAACCACTTTGACAAGTCAGTGGGTCTTGTCAACATGACGGATGAAACCCATCAGAGGCACTTCCTGTCGCAGTTCAAGGCCGAGTGGCGTGAGCTTGAGGAGCTCCTGCAGCAGAAGGAGCAGGAGCTACACAGGATCCAGATCCAGGTAGTTCCAGTGCCTCAGCTGCTGTCGGAGACCCAAGACACGCTATCGGGGGTGGAAGTGGCCCTTCAGAGCATCGACACTCACGTCACCTCCATCCAGCAGCTCCGAGACATATCGGAGCAGTACAAGGTTTTGCGCATCAAGATCCTCAACAGCAAGGAGAACCTCGAACACCTAACCCAAGTCTCAACCTCCGAGGAAGAGCAGGACGAGGAGCTGCTCGATACGTTGGGCCGCCTCTCACTCACGTGCCAGGAGCTCATCTGCACCATCCAGCAGCGCATCGCCTCCCTGGAGTATGTGCTTGACCACGTGCAGAAGGCCGTGAGCCGCGTGGAACGCATCTCCCTCACCATGATGCACCTGGAGAGCACTCTCGAGCGCTGCCAGGCCGTCGATAAGGAGGGCGAACAGATCCTCAAGGCCGCCTTGCACTCGTGTAAGACCATCTTCGAGGGTCTCGCTCGTGCCGAGGAGGACATCAACAAAGTCAAGCAGTCCCTGGAGACCCTCCGCAAGGACCCGCACCACCCGTGCCACCTGGCCGAGCTAGAGGCCCAGATCGAGACTCTCCAGGCCAGACTCAAGTCCATCTCCGAGAGCATCAAGGAGACCCGCAGCAGCCTCAAGAGCCGCCTGGATGTGTGGCAGAAGTTCATGTCGTCATCCGACGCCGTGGACAGCTTCCTGCAGGAGGTTGAGTACCTGATGGAAGGGGCGCCTGACCTGGCCTCTGTCAACCAGGACGCCCTCAAGAGTCACGTAGAGGAGCTGCAGAGACTCCAGGGCTCCATGTCCAGCAACGAAGGCCTGTTGGAGATGCTAAGGACGCAGGCCGTCCAGGTGGAGAAGAAGGACGTCGTGGAGACGCAGCTCACCCGCTGGAGCAACGTGTCACAACGCCTTGTCTCGGTAAGTTTTGTTTGCTTAATTGCATACAAACATTGAGAACAAAGCAAGGCACACACAAGAAAAGAAATAGATAAACAAATATGTTTTAAATACCTTTGTAAAATATACGTAACAGAATATTTAAAACTTCAAGCAAGTAATGATTTGAGGGAAAGTCTCCCATACTGTATGAGAGAGATAAAAAAAGGAAAAAAATCCTAGAAAACTCACGTCCCTTGCTTTTTTTTGTTCACAGGTTATCTTACGCTACGAGACCGCCTTGCAGCTGTGGTCTCGGTTCCTCACGGTGCAGGAGGAGGTCAAGGTGTGGGTCGAGTCCAAACTCACCCTCATCGTCTCCCTTCAGTCCCGTGGCATCGGAACCGAAGAACGAGGACAGATTCAGGTAAAGTGAAGCCTTCATGTCAGTTTCCTTTTTCTTCCCTTTTATTCCGGAGATTTCATTGATAAAAAACACATGTTAGGTGATTATGTATTCATTATTGTTTTGTTTTACGTTTCGGGTGTCCAGCAGAGAATTTGCCTTTTCTTGTTTACTTTCCGCGTCGTTTATAATTTTATGCAATACGTATACATACATATACATATACGTGTGTGTGTGTGTGTGTGTGTGTGTGTGTGTGTGTGTGTGTGTGTGTGTGTGTGTGTGTGTGTGTGTGTGTGTGTGTGTGTGTGTGTGTGTGTGTGTGTGTAATTATCTTATACAAAGTCGGTGGGTCAGAATATGCATCCTTTGAATGAAAACGAACAAGCGCAGAATCGTTGCGCACAAAACGTATATAAGACCAGAGGTTCCCGAGAGCGCAGGTCACGAGAGAGAAAAACGTACAGACGTTGCATTAGTGGCCTTCCAGTCGCGCGTGAGCTCAGAACACGAACCGAACATGTCCCGGCTCTCGAGGAAGCGGTCGTTGCAACGCAAGATTCGGAACACCGTAAGTTGGCTACCTAAGAAGACTGTTCTTCCAACTTCGGTTTATTCTGGAAATGTAGTGCATTCGTATCGTGGCAGAGACTTGCCGTTTCAAGAGATGGTGTTATTACTGGAAAAGACTATGTGCGCTGAGAGGTTAAGAATATTTCGAAGGTGAAATGAATGAAACTCGGTACATTAGAAGGGAATGTAAATGATGCTGGAAAGTGAATTTGTACTGTTAGCTAATTTCGTGTGGAAGGAATTCATGAATAATTGCAGTACATATCTTAAAAAAAAAAAAAAGAGAACAATGAAAGCAATATTAGAAAGCTTATTGCTTATAAAAAAATCACACACGTGAGCTTTCGTTTCTGTGTAACGTATACTAAGCGTGACTTGAAAATAGCTGCATTTTAAACCTTCGATATTACATTTCAAAAGATTACCCTATTAATTTTCTTTGTACCTCGACCTCGACCGAGACAGCAACATCAAATAACAAAGACACCGTAGATAGAAATGAATCGACTCGTCCCACAGTGCAAGAAAGTATGAAAGTCACAGTTTATTGGCCTCAAACACAAACACCGCCGTAAAGGTCAGATAAAAAAGAAAAATATGATACGTTTCATGGAGGTCTTGAAGAAAAGCATTTAGAAATGATCTTCAGACACAAAGGTTAAGGGTGAAGCTTAAGGCAGATGGGAAGAGGGGCGTGAGGATGAATTCAAAATTATTTTTAATGAAATCGTCGATTATGATTGCGCTAATGAGGATGATAATGATAGGGCCAAAATGGTGAATATAGAGATGGTTTAAATAATAGTTGTGGTGATAGTAAGGAGGATTATATTTAGAGTATAGTACATTTTTTTTTTTATGCGATAAACTTAAAGGAAATGTATCAGTTACCATATAAAGATCCAGCGCTTAACCTAAAGGGGAGGGATGGCACAGCCTGAAACCTTTACCCCCCCCACACCCCACACCCCGTCTCTCCCTTCCCGCTTCCCCTCGTTCCTTCAACACTCACTCCTTTAACTCCCCCCCCCCTCTCTCTCTCTCCTTCCCCTCACAACTTCAGGCTTCCTCTCCCCTTTCCCTCCCCTCTACCCCTCCCCTTATCCCCCCCCTCCCCGTGCTTGAAATACGTTTTGTCGCCGCGGAGAAGAAAACGAAAAAGAAAAACAAAGAAGGAGAAAAAGAAAACAAAAAATAAATAGAAGAATACTGAATACAAGACGAACAAAAGAAAGTAAGTGGATAAAAAAAATTGCATACAAGACGAAGAAAAAAAAGTGAATAGATAAAAAACTAAATACAAGTCTCCTCATATTCGACCTTTTGGCAAATCTTCAGAGCGTGGCATTACTGAAACACCAACGAGTTTTTGTTTTCTTGCTTGGAAGAAAAAAAAAACATACGACGAAAATGGCGTTTACTACCAGGCTCTGATTTGGATCTCTCTCTCTCTCTCTCTCTCTCTCTCTCTCTCTCTCTCTCTCTCTCTCTCTCTCCCCCTTCTTATTTCTCTCTTATTATTTTTTCTTTTCTTTTTTTGTCTATCTCTTATACCCGTTTTCCTTTAGTTTCATTCGTGTGTGTGTGTGTGTGTGCGACGTGTATTTTCGCGTGTATAAGTGTGTGTGCACGCGTGAACCCAACATCTTTTCGAGGGAAAATTTGCATATAAGCGTCGTTCCAGAGGGCAGGGCGTCTCCCCCTCTCCGGTGTCGACTTCAAGCCTTCAAGCCGAGGAACCTAAGGAATCCCACCTCATTGAAGGGGGATCGGGAAGGGGACTAATGTTTCTTCTTCTTCTTCTTCTTCTCTTTTCTTCTTTTGTCTCCTTTTTCATGAGGTGGGGAGCTAGAGGGTCGTTTGCTTCTTCTTCTACATTTTTCTATTATTTCTTTTCTTCGTATTCCCTCTTTGGAAGGAATGAAGGAAAGGGTGATAGATTTTTCTCTTTTTTTTTCCTCATATTCCTCCTACCTTCCCTCTTCCTCCTCCTCCTCTTCTTCTTCCTCATCCTCATCCAGTTCTTCCTCCTCTTCCTCCTCCGCGTCTGCGTATTCCCCCATCGTTAGCATTGTTCGGTGAGAGGGAAGGAGGAGAAGGGTGTTCGTCATCGGCTATAAATGCTCGGTTCATCCGGGTCTTTTTCGAATCGAATCCGGTCCTCCCAGCGTGAACCGAATCCTGATTATTTGCGGTATTTGATTCGCTTTTTTTTTTTTTTTTTTTTCCCTTATCCGTAATGAATGATAGAGAAAGAATGTGATTAAGAGAGGATATAGGGATAAGAATAAGATGAAATAAGGAGAGGTGGTGGATTCTCCGCGTGGGAGGAAATTGCGGGGTTAGAGCTGGCGAGAATACTTCGTATCGGTTAAAGTCTGGACGAGACCTGTGTGTGGGACGGGTCAGTGTGTGTGTGTGTGTGTGTGTGTGTGTGTGTGTGTGTGTGTGTGTGTGTGTGTGTGTGTGTGTGTGTGTGTGCGCGCGCGCGCGCGCGCGCGCGTGTTGTACACTTTGAGCATATAAAATTAGGAGCGTGAGGTTAAAATAAACGGTGAGTCACATGTACTGTCTTTATGCATGCAACTGACATTATTGGTTAAGTCACAACTCCGGACTTTGCATCACAATTTCGTGTCAAACGTAGTTGGTTAATCATGAGCACTTCTTGAATACATTGCGCAAATTTTAGCGACTTGCTTGTCTGGTCTTTATCAATCTATCTTCCTTCTCCCCTCGTACTTGCATAAGTATTCATAGAGACAGAGAGAGATTTAGAATGATAGAGACAGAGAGAGATTTAGATAGAGACAGAGAGAGATTTAGTAGATGCGAATGAATAAAATATATATACAGATACTTTATGTAGCTGTGTGTGTGCTTTTCTCTTTGTACATTCATATGCATATTCATACATAATTTAACATATATGAGGGCCATTGATACTTAAACATTTACATACATACTTCCATATATGTGTATGTAGTTTTTTTTTTTCATTTGTGGTACTCGATGCGCACCCATGAGCGTACCAACACACACACACACACACACACACTCACTCACTCACTCACTCACTCACTCACTCACTCACTCACTCACTCACACACACACACACACACACACACACACACACACACACACTCACACACACACACACACACACACACACACACACACACACACACACACACACGATGTGAGGGGTTCCTTCCTCTCATTTTTTGTCGCCGAAAGCACCGCCTACTTCGTCCGAACTCGCGATCGATATATCAATTTGATCATTTATTTCTTCCCTTCGAGTTTTTTCATCGATATCTTCAATTTTTCACAATTCCTCTCCACCCTTGAAACTCAATTAGTCACACAAGTAAAGGGAAATAGGTACATCCATTTACTCTAATAGCATAAGGAACGTATGGGTGGGCAGGGATCGGCACAAGGCGGGTTGTTTGACTCACGTGAGGGGAGATGAGGAAGGTGCCAGATATCGCATTCCGTTTTCTATTTTTAACGACCCCAGACTCCTATAGATGTGTTTTAGTTCATAACAAGGTCGTGCATGTAGAGCGGATATCCACCGCTAAGTAGATTAGTATGTTAAAAGAAAGTGATTGGATAATGATATAGAAAACTGCATTTGAGAAATTCGAACGCGCTGAGCGAGAACTATAAAAGAAGAATAGAACAGAACATAATGATTGACGTTCTCACCATCGCGTAGGTTGTAAATAAGTGCCGAGGGAGTTTTATTCTCTCCCTCCTTCCTCCGCACATGAAAAGGGGAATAAATGGTATCTGGCAGTAGTAGGAAGAAGGAGAGAGGGGGCAAGGGAGGGGCGCGGGAGGCAGTGTTGGGTAATACCCCGCCAGTGACGTGCCGTTCCCCCTCGTGGTAAGGGTATGCCTGGCGCTCGCGAATAGTTGTGCTATGATATCATTTTTGGGTCTTTTTTGTGCTTTTTGCCGTGGTGCATGTGTCCCCGGTGTTTATTATTATCCGTGATACACATGGACATTTACCCAGTGTCGTGAACAGTCTGCTTGGTTCGTTGGGATTCGTGTTTTTTGAGAAGTCTTGAGCGCGCCAAGGAGAGGCTTTGAATGCAACAGTTGGCTGTGCGGGAGAGTTGATGTAGGTATTGGTTATTTTCAGTGTTTTTCTCACTCGTTCTTTCTTCTTGCATCTGTATGTAAGCTTGGAAGCTGCATGGTGTCTCACAGTGTTTCTCTTGAATGCAAATTGTCTGCTGTCAGAATAAATGTGCATGGCACACATGACAGCAGGCGCCTCCCCCGAAATTACGTCATGAAGGATGATCACGTGATTAGGAAACGTTGAGAGGGAAGGCGGCATGCCGGCCGAGGGGAAACGTGAGCTGGTTCCTCTGCGAATTTGCATTTTCTTGTCTCTGTACAAATCTAAAAGCGCTTTATTTTTCTAGAAA